TGAAATAGATTATAAAGCTTTGATTATATAAAGAATATAATAATATGTGTATGTATAATATTTGTACAAATTGTTGAATTAATCGTTAATTAATTGCAAAAAGAAAAATAACAAATAATGATTTATAATCATTTATTATATAAATTTTAAAGTTATCTTTTACTATATATAAATACTAAATATTCTAATAAATATAATTTAAATTAATTTGTTATTTTACTCTATATTGAATAAAAGTTATTTTATTAAACTTATAATTTTTTAATCTTTCTATATTAAAAAATAAATAAACAAGTTCATGTTTATATTTATTTTTTTAATTTTATGTTTCATCTTTTATCAAAATTCGTTTATAATTTCGTAATCATTATTTTGATAATTAATTGTTTATAATCTCAGTTCTAATAGATATTAATGAAAAAAGAAAGGAAAAGGAATAATTCCTTTTACCTCATGTTACTCACTTTATTATTATTTACTGCAGAATATACCATGAAAATTTATATTTTATAGATACAAAAAATATTCATATATAATATAAAATTTTTCCACGCTTGTTCATGATAAACATTTAGAAACTTTATTTTATTTCATATTATTAAATCCGTCCATTATATATTATTAATTGAAAATATTAATTCGAAAAACAATGAAAAATAATAAATTAATCAAATTAAAAATTATGCAATATATATAAAATAACTTCAAAATAGGTTATCGAATTATAAGGGACTATAATATTTAAATAATTAAAAATTATTTATTAAATAATTATAATAAAATATCAATTATCCGAATTAATTGAAAGACAAATACATTTGAATAAACAGATAATCGGTTAGAAAAAATCAAATTGTGAAACAAATTTAGTTTATTTTAAATATTCTTAAATTTAATAAATGTGTATATATACCATGTATATTATGTAAACAAATATTACTTAATATGTTCACTTCAAATTACACGTGTACATTTTCTTTTTTTAATTATAGGAAATGTTTAAATATATCAAATTATCATTTTATTCGGTATATTTATCCTGTTTTCGAATAATCAATAATTTTAATAATTAAAATTCAGATAATCGACGTTCTACAATACTATATTATATTATATATTTTATTTTTATATATTTTATATTTAATTATACTTTGATTGTACAGAGTAGGCAATTATTAATTTTCCATAAATATTATAATTATATGATAATATTATTACATAGACATTGGACATCAATCTTATAAATTTTCATGCAAATCTTAAAAATAAAAAGTATTTCAAAGTATTATCTCATCAGTATTTAAAATGTAAATATAATTAGATACTTAAAAATTGAAAAATACTATTGCGATAAATTTATTGAAATTTTGTTTAATTTTAATATTATTAAAAAATTAATTTATTATACAATATTTCATTTGAAATCAAATCATTTTTTATATTCATCTTAATTAAATAATAAAAATGGATATATGAAAAATTATTATAATTCTTTTACATTTAAAATTTGGAAATAATTTAATGTATTTAGCATTTTAATTTATATATGGGTGCTTTTTTTAGTCTAGTTATTCGGTAACCTATTTTAAAATCATCTTGTGTGCACTTCGATTATTTATAAGGCTGTGTGCAAACAAAAATATAATAATTCAAAAAATTATTTCTTGTATAAGAAATAAAATAAATATGTAAATTAATAAATTTGACAATAATATCTTTTAAATAATATAACAATTTATACATATTTTCATATTTTTTAGATTGATGATTAAATTTTATTTCATTAAATTTTAAATGTAAATACAAACTTAAGTCATTTAATTTCTAACTTTCAAAAGATAAAAGTTAAAAATATATATATATGTATACATATACAAGTATTATTCGGGACATTTTTAAAGAATATATTATAGAAACAAAAATGAATATAATTGGTATAAGCATGTCGATTCAGTTTATTTATTAAATTATAAACAATTTAAATTTACATCAATGAAATGAAATAAATAGAGATAAGTAAAATATTATAATATTTTTACTTCATCTATTTATATAATTAATAAACTTCAAAATTATAACTTAATAAATAAATCAACATTTTTGAATATCAATTTTTATTTATTTTTATTTCTAATCAACCTTTAGTATCCTATGAATATTAACATTCTATATGTATATGTGTATAAATATATATATATATATATATATATA